TTTTTCAATTCATATGCTTTTTTATGATTGTCTACTGTTGTACTGATAAATATCTCCTGGAGGGTAAACTATATCTTGGCTGCAAGTATCAAGCTGCGAAATCTTTCATTTTCTCCAACTGATAGCGGTTGGTCAATTACAATGAAGTTTAGCAACTTCTCGGTAAACATTCGAGCTCCGTGTTTAGATGAAAAGTTGGTTAGCTGTTAGCCACAGTGCTGCTCAGTCCTCACATATTTACTCACGTTTAAGCTGGCTGCAAACTATGGAATGGATTTCCTGAATGTGAGGCAGATATTATTACTCTGGGTTTCATGAGACACGCCTCCATTCAGGACATCCATGCCATAGTTTGAAGCCAACTTGCAGAGCAGCTGTCAGGGAATCCCATGTGGAGATGTTTCATCAGACACAGACATGCATCATGGATCAGAAATCTCTGCAGGTTGGATCGGAAAAATCCGATACGTAAATTATGCTAATATCGGAGCCCGATACCAATACCGGATCGGGCCCATCCCTAAATTTGACATTGATATACGTCACAATATACTTTTATTCAATAACGATAATAAGAGTTTTAAGCACATTTTCAATATTTTGATACGATTACAGCGTTTCACTGACGCATTACTTTTCTGTTCGGGTTGAAGCGGCCGCTTCAGTTTCAGCCCGAATGGAAAAAGCCGCGACACAACTACACAAGTGTGCGATGACGTAGATGTTACGCAGAGCTTGAGTACAGAAGGAATCAGTGGTAAAAATAAAATAAAAATAAAAAAGGAGTCAGCGGTAGCAGGCTAGGCTAGGCTAAGCTCCAACACGCTGTACGTTTTCGCTTCAAAATGAGTGCCCATGACTGTCAGAATGTGACTAAACAAGCTTTCACAAATGAAGAGAAAGCAGATGACATAACTGATAAGAGAGGAAAGACTAATTTGGCGGTGTGGAAGTAGTTCGGCTATCTAAAATCTGATAAACTGCAGATTTCAGTGTGCTGCAAAATGTGCCGGTGGGAACACATCTAACTTGTTCCACCATCTGAAGAGTTTCCACTCTAGAATATGCTGAGAGTCAGAAGATGACGCACAATAAAAGTTTGAGTCAACGTGTCCCAATGTTTAAAAGGTGAACATTAATTTATTTGTACAGTTTGTCTGAGGCTTTTATATTGTTTATATCAATATCAGAATTATATCGTTATCAAAGAAACATATTGTGATAAAAGTTTTGGCCATATCGTCCAGCCTTAACAGCACCTATTCACCTAAAGGCACAGCTGAACAAATGCACCACACTTTTCCAAATTTACCAATAGATCACTTTGTGCTGGGCCCTCCACTTCAATTTGAAAGATGACATTTAATGTCTGACAGAAAATCTATGTGTATAAATCACATTAGAGGGGCTTTTATGTAGGCTATTCAGCTTTAATTATAAATCTATGACTATTTGGAATTAAAATAAGACCTGACCTTTTGGCATGATGAACTAGCAAACTGCAAACTCAAGTGAGTGTGAAAACAGATACAGTAAGTAAGTGTTTCAGATTTTACACTAAACAAATGGCAGAGAAAATCAAAGACATTTTGGTGTGATGCAGATCTGTTAATCTGGATCAGTTGAAGTTATGGACATTCATTTAGTACAGCCACACTGAAGGATATTAACCTTAAAAATAACTTGGTGGTGTAGACTCTCAGTCATCAATAAACCCAACAAAGTAATCAAAGCCACTTGGACTCTTCGCATGAAGACGTGTCAATTGTTTTACATGGGATGCCCTTCCTGACTCAACCAGACTACCGAGCTAACACGGCCCTTCGTGTGGAGTAGAGGACTGCCATCTAGGGTGCTTGGGGAAGCAGATTTGGGGGGGGGGGGCACGGGGGGGGGCGGGGGGGGGGGGCCTTGTCATGGTCTGATCTGTACGGAAAAATTATCTGTAGTGTAGCTCATTAGCACATGCGCTAAAAGGAATAATTCCGGGTCACACGAATTGCAGTTGAATATACTAGATTAAGGAAAATGTACTGGAAATAATTATTTGATATTAATAAAATTTATTTATGAATCATACCATATTTATTAATTTTAGTTAAAATATCTTTCTATAAATTGATAAATTATCCTAGACAATCTTATAATTCCGTTTATGAATAAGAACTGTCTTAATTTACTTAGGAAAGTATGTGCTCCATCTCCGCCGATTTTCATGTTGCTAATTTACGACACTCATATTTCCGTTAAAATCATTGACATATTTACGTCATTGGATAAAAATTATTTGCAGCTTCACCACTGAGCAGCGCTGTTTCACCATGGAAATAATTAATTCTGTATCTTGCAGGGTTTTCTCATTCAGCCCAATGCATCGAATATCATCTTAACCAATGACGTAAATATGTCTATGATTTTAACGGAAATACGAGTGGCGTAAATTAGCAACATGAAGATCGGCGGAGATAGAGCACATACTTCCCTAAGTAAATGAAGACAGTTCTTGTTCATAAAGCCCTACAACCAACCGGTAGCAGGTTTTTTTTGCTGTTTTTTTTTTTTTACATTTTCCTTTAATTACCATTTTATTTTCACTTGTTAAAATAAAAAAAAACTCAATTTTATGCATCCTTTATGATTGTCTATTATTGTCATTGTTGTCCACTGTTGTCATCACTCTTTTTGTTAAATCAGGTCTCTCTTGTAAATGAGTCCTCGAGGCTCAATGGGATTAAACTGTATAAATAAAGGTTGAATGAAAAAAAAAAAAAAACAACGATCCATATGACCCGGAAGTATTCCTTTTAGCACATGCGCAAATGAGCTGGCACCACGAACCATGCTTCCATAACAGATCGGGAGTGACAGGCCTTGCTTAAGGGCCCAGCGTGGGAAAATGAGGGTGGAGGCAGGTGCGAGGGTTTCACCTTATCCACCCACACCATGTGAGCAGAACCTTCTGATCACAGGTTCACTTCTCTAACAGCTGTGCCACCACTCCCTTTATACTGATTAGAAGCAAAACATTATCATAAATTGACAAACAAAAGGCCAGTTGCCTTGAAATCAGCTTGTTAGGATTAAAACATCTCTGGAAATTGTCACATTACAGCAAAAGATATCCATCAAAGAAACAACGCCAACGCACATATTGTAGGACTTTTTCGTTTTCAATACTCCCATTAAAGATTTCAGTCATTTCAGCAAGTAGCAAGTCTGTACAGAGCCCATTTCCATCTGCGCCTGTGTGAAACATGTAAAGTCTGGTGTACTAATCAACAGTGCTGGGTTCAAACTCATAACCATAAACAAACACTTCATCACCTGCATTCGAAGTCTGCCCGAACACCCAAGCCCTTCATGCCGTAATTGGCTTTTCTTACATGCAAAGCCAAAGTTGACTAAGGCAGAAAAGACCAAACTTAGACTTGCCGCTAAAATAACAACCAAAAAAGCTGAATGTATAAGTAGTGCCATTAAAAAGCTAAAGGCAGGTTTGCTTATAAGTGGAAAAGATAAGTCACTGTTAATGCAGAGGGTCATTCCACTGATGTGAAGTTTTTTTTTTTTTAAACGTGTTGGTTATGAAGGACATATGTCATGTCATCATGAAATTCCCCATGCATTCACTTTCACAAAGGTTCCCTGTTAGAATACAGGACAGAAACTAACAAGGAATCATTTATGGGTGTCTATTTAAAACAAAACGTTCTTTAAGTTTCTAAATTCGTTGGACAATCATGAGAAGTGATTTAGTAATATATTAAAAGTTAGAAAAACTTTTTGGTTTTGTTCAGAGTGACTAGAGTAGTCAGTGTGCACATTTCAGAAGTACAAGCA